AGGTCCAGGGTTCGAAACTCAACAGAGATATCTATGGTTATTCTATAAGAAGGGGCAACAGTGCACTTACTTTGATCTATCTGCGAACTTTTACTCTCTGCTGCTATTTTTTCTTTGTATATGTTGATTCTTCATGCTTAGATGAATGCAGTCTAGAGATGTGATTATCACAAAAGCGCCACTGAAAATATGAACGTCGAACTTGCTATTTTGGAAACGAAACCATTTTGAGGTTGTGTTATTGTTGGAATATGACCCAAATTCCTATTGGGATTATGATTGAGTTGGTTAATTGATAATAGGAACACGAATCTTCTTGGTTTGGAAGTTCGTTGGAAAAGTGATCAAAATTCATCAAGAATTGGAAGTTTGATTGGCAAGACTTGGGTTTGGAGTTTTGGTTGAAATTGTTTTGAAAAGATCAATTATGGATTGAGGAAAAAAGTCGTCACAATTTCGCTAACTGGCCGCTAGCTTTAGAGCTCGAGCATCGGGGGTGAAAAAGGGAGCAGAGACCTGGCTTCCGCCTAGTGCCATTATTTTGCTTAAGCGGCGGAGTGTCGCACGCCGGTACTTGAGTAGCAGTGTTATTCGGGTGGAAATCATTTTTCGATTCTAATTTTTTCTTGTATTGTGTTTCATCCAAAACATTTGCAACGAGTTCTTATATATACTCCACGTAATGTATCATCTTTGAAACTTTGTAAGAGCATAGTTAAACACTGTATAGTATTGAGAGAACATCAAAGTGAGGATTTAATTCATAGAGATACTCGCATATTTTGAGATATGTTAAGAGTCTTGTGAGATCTTTTTGTATTTTTTTTTTGCTATTGGTTTTAGTGAATTCTTAGTCTCTATCCGTGAATTTCCCGAATTTGGATTTTCACATAAATCTTGTGTTACTGCGTGATTCATTATTTTGGCTTTAATATTCACAACTTTGCTTGTAAATTGGCTCAATTCCTAATAGTTATGATTTAATTTGGCAACACAAACGACCATGCCAATAGAAAATAAATAACTTGGCTGACACGAATGTGCATCAACTTTGCTTGTAAAAGTCTGTTGGCCGTTAAAGATGCAGGTACTTATCGCTCTCATGTTTTTTGCTTGGTTAATCAGTTTTTTTTAAAAAGCTTGCCTAGAAACAAAACTTGTCGTCTAGTCACGCTTTATGGTTTTTACGTCTATGTTCATTTAGACTTGTCAAAGCTTGATCTTGTCCGTCTAGTCACGTTTTACGTTTTTTATAACATTGCTTTTAATGCTGCTTATAATTAAATGATTTCACTTGTCAAAGCTTGATCTTGTCAGTCTTTTCCTTTTCGTAAAAGAAAACTAAAAACATCTTATTTGACCCCCCAAAATGCCAAAAGCCAATATACAATAATCAACTCCAAGAATATTGTTTTTAATTAATGGGTTATAAGTGATTTCTTTTGACTTATCATTTTATCTCTTTACTTGACTTGGACCTTTTTATAGTCTATGACAACAAAGCACTTGTTTCACGACCATTATTTTCAAATTCATTTTCTTTGCACGTAAATTTAAAAAAATTATATTTTTTAACCACGCATTCTTCTAAAAATCACCATTTAAAACTAAAATTTTCTCAAAAATAATGATTGTCAAACAGGGGTTAAGAAACGTATTTGATAGATAATTAATTATCTTAGTTGACATCTCGAGTGTGGTTTCTATCCCAATCCTATGTGACTGCTTCTCCTTTATCTTTAGAGCTGAGTTGGAGAGTAGGAGGATGGTTTATCTACACACTTTCTATGATATTATTATATTTATTTGAGTATACGTGGTTGAATCTGATCGGGTCATTAGTGGCCTTTAGGACATTTTAAAATTTCCTCAAAACCGTCCAAATTAAAGAATTTTAAATATGAATTTTAAAATTCTTTCTTACTTTGACATAAGCCACAATCAATTTCTCGTAAATTCGTAAAGTCTACGAAGAGAAACTCTCATATTTTCAAAAATTACATAAATTTTCCTTATACGAAAAAATAAATATACAATATCCATCTTCTCTTTAGATTTCAAACAATCTTATTTTCTTATATTTATACATTTTTTTAAAAAAAATTAAAATTAAATAAAAAAATTGTTGAAGTTCAAGAAAGTACTCCTTTTGAACAAAAGCTTACAACTCTCCAAAACTATTTTTCAAAATTATTTTTTATATAAATAAAAACATTGAGTAGAAATAAAATGAAAACTAATCCAAACTTTTCGACATTATTGAATTCTAATTCAATTTCTCCTCTCTTTGTTGATAAATCCGTGAGGTAAAACCCGTTGATTGAATTAATCAATAGTTTTAACAGAGTTAACCCGGTCGATTTACTGATTTTCAAAATTGTTTTTTAAAATTTTGAGGGTCCATGGAATTAAATCTTGGACCTCTAAGTAAAACAATTAGTTACTTACCACTGGAGTTGTAGAGTACTTCAATATTTTTTATGTGTTATAAATTATATGTATCAAATGAATCATATATATGTTTTTAAAAAGTATTTTTAGAATAACTTTGGTCTTTATTTTATAGATTTAAGTAATTCGCGAAAAATAATTTTAAAAAATATAATTTTCCCTAAAAAAATTTTATACTTTAATTTTATTTTATATAGATTTTTATGCAATAATTTACTGGTGTAANGGCTATATCATTGATAGTAGACATAATGCGTGTTTACGTGTACATATCTCTCTCTTATTTCTAGGGATGTAATGCGGTGGGCGCACGTCTATGTATATATCTTTCTAGAGAGAGAGATTGATTCCAAAGGCGGCTACAGATGAAGTGGACAAAATATATTTTTCTTTGAGGGATGTATTTAGGTTCTTCTTTTCTTCGTCCAAGAAAAATAAATCAATGCAGATTTGAATGGCCAATATTTTAATGTTCAATTCAACAAGTTTTACGCAGTCAAATTTGAATTATTGAATTGAAATAATTAAATAAGTATTAAATTAATTAATTAAAGCAGATGTTAGCGGATTCAATGACGAGAGGGGGTGGGGGGGGGGGGGGGGTGGGGAATACGGTGTTTGGTGTGTGGCCAATGGTGAGTGATCACTCGACTTTATGTTATTAACTTTTATATTTGATTTCGTCAAAAATCTAATTTGCTTTCTGACTAGTCGTATTCAGACAAATTCGGAGTAAATTCCAATTTTTAGCAAGTTGTTCATCAAAAGCACAAGTTACTATTATATTGCCTGAAACGCAAGTTGTTTATTGATTCTCTTTATATGTCATACGAATAACCAAGTTGTAACATGTTATTGTTGGAATATCATCTCCAGTCACAAATTTTTAGGCTCCCAAGAACTTTTTGATTTATTTTCTTGTTCTTTTTCTCTACTTTTACCCTCAAGTACAGGTGATTATTTATTTCGGAGAAATGGAAGTAACGGGAGGTTAAGACGTCTTAGGTTATGGCCTTGGCAGGTATATCTGCACTTTTACCTTTTTCCCAATCATATCTGCACTGTCTAGTTCATGATTACCGATTAGTTTAAGTTTTTGTTTCCTTTTGATATTTTCATGGCTTGATGAAAATTATTGTTTGTAGTTACTTGGGCAGTGTGTGGGGGAAAAATCAATTTACGAAAAGATAAATTTAGTATCATTCCTGATAGCTCGAAGAAGCAGAATTATAGTAGGACCAGTAAAAGTGGTATGGAATTTGAATCTGATTGGATGCAGCATAGAAAATCTTTGGCCTTCACAGCTCTAGCGATCCGATTTGCAACATCTTTCATGCCTTGGTCTAGTAGAATCCCCATAAATGAAGGATATCACGAATTTCTTTAATCAGGTACCAATCTTTTAGGTACATAGATGTTTGCTTTTGAGAGTCACATTTGCTTAATGATTATTGTGTTACCAATTTCTCATAGTTAGCAGTTTGAAGAATGTTTAGTGTGAAGAAGAGAATTACTGAATCAGATATGTGTTTCTCCAACTCAGTCCTGCAAGATACTCCAGCTTCTAAAAGCAATTGTCGTTTAATTTCTAAGGTTACTGATGATTATCATGTTCCCATCTTGCCTGGATTACCAGATGATGTATCAAAATACTGTTTTGCTCTCGTTCCCCGATCTAATTTCCCCGCTATGGGTGCTGTATGCAAGCGGTGGAGGTCATTTATCAAAAGCAAAGAGTTCATCACTGTTCGTAAACTAGCTGGGATGCTTGAGGAATGGCTTTATGTCCTGACTGTGGATGCTGAAGGAAAAGAGAGCCACTGGGAGGTTTTAGATTGTTATGGACATAAACACCATCAACTCCCACCTATGCCTGGTCCTGTTAAAGCTGGTTTTGGTGTGGTGGTTCTCAATGGGAAGCTTCTTGTCATTGCTGGTTATTCTGACGTAGATGGAACGGGATCCGTCTTAGAAGATGTTTACCAATATGATTCTTGCCTCAACAGGTTTATTTTATTCCATTCTCCTTTTTTCCCATTTTCCCTTGTGCGGTACATTTAGCCAAAATATCTTAGTGATTACGTTTAGAACAGAACAGCATTTGTGACTTAGTGCTCCCTTGTAAGTGACCCAGCCCTCTACACATAAATTCCATCATAGTTGTAGGATCTCAGGACGTATGAAAATTTAATAGATTGTGAGTTCAGACTCTTAGTAGACACTTGAAGTTGTCCTGTCTACTGTCGTAAATTGCACCTCAGTTCTGGAAGATTTTATTAGAATAAATGACTTAGATTGTATGGTAGATTTTGAAGCTAGAAAGCTTCCTGAAGTCAACTAACTGGCCTTGATTAACGCTTGGTACTTGAGGTTTTGATATGGTTCCGCACTATGAACAAAGACCTCGTGCAAGTTGCTTATGGTTAAGAAAATTTCAAGTTTATGCCAAATTAGAATTGAAAAGAGTGGAGACATTTTTCCTGTGACCATGAATGTTGTGGGATCTTCTTCAACTTTATTCTTATTATATAACATATTTAAAAATCTTTACCTATCAAATGGTGGAATTCCTTTTCAAACATTTTATACGAAATGCCATGGGAAATGATCGTAAACTTGTCTGCTGAAGTTAACAATTGAAAAATGTGTACTGTTGCAAACATTAATTGGCACTTGTGCAAACTAAAATATGTGGAATCATTGGTTTGCTTCAACATTTTCCACTTATCGCACTGAATATAGTAGCAAGAAATAAAATCTTGTTTCCTTGTCTGGCATTGGTACGCTGTAATAAATGACTGCCTATTGCAGCTGGAGCAAATTGGCTAGCATGAATGTGGCACGCTACGACTTTGCTTGTGCCGAAGTAAATGGCATGGTCTATGCTGTTGGAGGATATGGGATGGGCGGAGAATCTCTCTCTTGTACGGAAGTGTACAACCCTGATACTGACAAGTGGACTCTAATAGAGAGTATGCGCCGACCAAGATGGGGATGTTTTGCCTGCGGAATCGAGGGGAAGCTCTATGTTATGGGTGGGAGGTCAAGTTTTACTATCGGAAATTCAAGGATTGTTGACGTATATAACCCTGAGAGACACACCTGGTGTGAGATGAAAAATGGTTGTGTTATGGTTACAGCCCATGCAGTGCTGGGTGAGAAGCTCTTTTGTATGGAGTGGAAGAATGAGAGGAAACTAGCAATTTTCAACCCCACAGACAATTCATGGAAGATGGTGCCAGTTCCCTTGACTGGAAGTTTGAGCATTGGGTTTCGTTTTGGTGTACTGGATGGAAAACTTCTGCTATTCTCGTTACAGGAGGATCCTAGTTACAAAACCCTGTTGTATAATCCAAATGCTGCCCCCGGCACTGAATGGCAAACTTCTGAGATGAAGCCGTTAGGTTTATGCCTGTGCAGTGTCACAATTAAGGCATGATTCGGGTGTTGAGTCAAAATCATTCGATGCTGGTACTCTGCGTGCGATCTTCCTACTACTAAATCTTATCTTCTGGTCCTATGTTTTTGTTCAGTAAAATTTGTATTATGCATGTCCATTTATATTTCTGAATCAACATGAATTGTTATCGGATCTTTGATAAATTGCAGCTTGAATGGATAACATGGCTTGAAATTAAATTGCATTAGAGCAAAGATTGACTTGATGTTGCACACTACAAGCCACAGCCTCCAATGACTTGGACACCTATTACAATCAGCAACAAAGACAGAAAGTAGAGACAAACAGGGTAGAAAGCAACAAAAATACACAAGACAGTAACAGCATGGGCTGATCTTATTAATCCAGTCTTCGTTAAATTGTCATGGCAACCATCCTGATACGTAATTCACACTAGGGCCAGCTGTCGAATCACCGTACCTGAAATATAAATAAATTATTGAGTCAGAACATGACGATGAACAAGATTTTATTATATAAATAATACTGTTTATTACTGTCTGATATATGAGACTTCACTTCAAAAACTAGCAAAACTATGGTTCTATCTTAACGAAGGGCATACCCAATATGTAGAGTAGGTTCACATTCCAGTGGGTCAAAGAAAGCATCAGTAGTCTGAGGTTGAGCTGCTGGTTGTCTCCCATAGCTCACATGATTTTGATCTTGAGCCCTTGGATTCCACTGCAAACTTACTTGGTTTGATTCAATCAACTACAAAAATCACCCTCAATGCTTAATTTGCTTATTCACTACTTATAATTGAATACAAATACAACCTATCAACTTATAAGTTAATTCTCTTCATAAGTATGCATACCCATTGTTTCAAACTCTTATTTGCTTCATTAAGTGCTAGCTCCTGTCCATATTTAGAAACCAAAATATATGTAAATGAAACAATCGAATATATATCAAACCATTTCTGTATAGTTACTAAGAAACTAAGTCGTATACCTTTGTTTGAAGATCAGTGAGTGTGTCCAACATCGCTTGGGTCTATACGTAAAATTGAATTAAACTTTTCGAGTGCACGAAATTTGACAAGGATATATATGTTATGAAGCATGTTAGATCAAGTAGGCGTACCCTTGTTGATCTGATCTGCTTCAGTGACATATCAAGCTGCCTCTCAAGTGATTCGAGCTCTTTGCTGTTTAAAGAACCAAGATCCTCTCCGAGAAGGTTCCTGGTGGTGATTTTTAGCAGCCAAATTAAAACATGATTAATGAGTTCATACAAACTTCATTCCTCCATGACTTTAACTCGAAAAAGAAAAAAGAAAAAAAGACGAAAGAATATCAGTCCTAGTGACTGAAAAACCTCTGCGAACGCTGTAGAGCTTCATATCGAGCTTTAAGCTTCAAATACTCCTGCTGACTACTCAGTTCCTGTAAACATTATATATCAAGTTGGATGATTTAAGCCCTTATTAAGTGAAAGAAGATAATCTGCATATATGCAAAATTTAGAACCTGAAACTGTACCTTTTTGGCATGTTTGTTAAGGTGGTCTGAAAAACACGAGACAATACTAAGAAAAAGTGAAACTAAAATCTGTCCACGTTTTGCTGTATTCAGTATTGTGTACTAAACATGTCTTTTTCGTTCATTTCAATGGCAGTTATTGTATATTAGATCTACTCAATTGCATTATAGCCCTAGTACAGTCTATTTAGTATTTACATTGTAGAAAGCTGAGCATAGCTTTCAAAAAATCCTACATATGTATCGCTGTAACTACCATATGTCCAAGAGTTACTCGAACAAATATTCTTCCTTCATTCTCGATTTTAGTATATCTTGTATAAGTTCCGACCTACCTTAAAAGGGAAAGTGGAAAAGTACTATTCCAATCATTAAAATGTGAATTTCCGGTTGAGCGTGAAATGAATGAAGTGTGGGAAATGCAATGACATTAAAGCGTGGGAAATTTTTAAGATTATCCGTGTTGGAGTAGAGAAAGTGAAAAGCCAAGAATCATCGGGAATTTTTAGAGATAACCACATCGTAGAGTTGAGTGAAGGTTCAAATTCAATGTTTTGTGAAGTAAGAAATTAATTTTGTTAAAAGTATCAATGAAATTGCAAATTTTGTAAGAAACAATATTTAAGGGGATTCAACTTTTTTATTAGGTTTTAAAGAAGAAGAAGAAATTGCATAATTTCTTTACTATACCAACCTGTGAAGATTCATCTCTCATTGCATTTCAAGTTCGATGATTTTTTTTTTAAAACTTACTAATGCAAAATAGAATGAAAACAATTACAATCAAATAATTATGTAAAATTAAAATAAAGAATAATTAATTATTTCTTTACCAGTGCCTCAGTTGCTGATATATTTGGCTCTGGTGCTCCATAGTTGCACTTTTGATACCTGTCCAGTGTTTTGAGGATGCTGCATAGTACCAAAAGTGGGGAAATAAGCATTTAACTGGACACAAGACTGCCTTTAATCAAGACAAAACACACAATAAAAATAAATCATATCAATCTTCAGATTTGAGTTGAAGAGGGAGAAATTAATTGAATGAAAGCAAACCCTAATTACATGAAAAATAAACCCTTTACCCTCCCCTTTCCCATCGAAAAGAAAAAAAAATAATTTTTCATCTATCCAAAATAAGTAAATTAAAATTTCACATATCAGAAAGAAATCTGACCTCAAATTTGGACTTCATTTAGAGGTTTGCAGTCTAAAGAAAGACTGAGAAAATAAGCTATTTTTTATCCCATAAAAACCAAAAGAGAATTAAGAACCCTAGCTTTAATATATTTTGGGTTGTAAAACATTACAAATTTCAATAAATAAATCAGATTATTCCAAAGAAATTTTAGAAAAGGATAAAGCTTTACTGAGATCAAATTCGAAAAATGTGCTTTTAGGATAATTTGCTTGATCTACAACAAGTAGTAAGTAAACCATCAAATCATATTTCCATGAAAAAAAATAAATCACTGATCCTATCCTATGAAATTTCAAAGGCTTCAGAAATATAGAAATAAGCTTCTTTTCATATTTTCCTCTTGCAGATCTAACAAAACCTAGTCCTTTACACTCCAAACAATGGAAAAAAACAAACTCTCTTCATAAAAAAAGATCATCAATACCTTGAGCTGCTGCAGAATTCATAGAGCTTTCCTCTAGTAGAGAAGATGATGAGGGCAACTTCAGCATCGCAAAGAACAGAAAGTTCATAAGCTTTCTTCAAAAGCCCGTTTCGACGCTTAGCAAATGTCACTTGCCTGTTTATTTTGTTCTCTATTCTCTTCAGTTCTACTCTTCCTCTCCCCATTTTTACTCTATCACTCTACCTCAGAATCAGAAAACCACAAAATTCTATTTGTTATCTTCTCAGTTATTTCTTCTTACTACACGGCCTCTCTCTATATATACAGCTATACCTTTCATGTATTCACATGTAAAGTCTGAAATAACAGTAGCAGTATCATGATCCCATAAGTTGAATTTCCAAAAACCCTTTTTTTTTTACTTCTGGTTTTGGACTCTCTCTAAGCCCCCGTTTGGTCCGAATTAAAATCTGATTTTAATTCAAATCAAAATCGAACAATCAATGATAACAACATTTTTCATGAGTCCCATGACTTTTCAATCACACATTTCAAAAACTTCTATCACAATCTATTAAAATTTTAATTTTAATTTTCACCAAACACCCTACTTGTTTAAAAGTAAAAAACTTAAAACTGAATTGATTTTGATGAGGAAAATGGTGGGTTGTGGGCCATATGAACAGGACAGAGAAGGGACCATAAAACCACGTGTCAAGATATGAAGTGGTCCAATAATGAATAGTTTTGTTTGGCAGGCACACGTGTGACCAATCCTTAAATCAGTTGGAACTTGTTTGGTTACAATGTTTTGCCACAAATGCCCTTCAAGAATTTGTCTTGGGGTAATTATATTCACACTACACTCACCATATTTTAATTACATTGAGCATCCTCAATCTTTTCTCATTTTTGCACTTATATCTATAACTTTTTATATTACAATCTTATCCCCAAACATTCTCTTACTTTTCAGATCTTGTTTGTAATGAAGGTTTTCGTCCATAAAATTAATTAAGAGTTCTTCTATTTTTAAACGAGCAAAATAAATAACAAAATAAAAGTTTGACAAAATAATCTTCCCTAATTTCAATACACGTTAGCAAAAAAATTTAGACAAAAATCGAGATATGAGACAAGACATGCTAATTTTGTTTTAAGATTAGTGATTAGCACGCGATTAAAAAGTTAAAGATATAGAACATAATTGATAAAAAATTGGAGACCTTCATTGCAATTTAAATACGGGTGCAGATATTAAAAATTGTTTTGTTAATATAATTGTCCTTTTGTCTTAATAATGGAATGTTAGATTGACCAATTTGCCCTCCATAGAGGTTTGAATAATGTTGTTTATCGATACGGTGATTAGCACCAATTTAGATGTGTGTGTGTGGAGCTATTATCACAGTGTTTATTGAAGTTGAGATGTATTTTTATATACAGGAGAATGTAGTACTAGCCAAATTGACATCTAAACTGATAAATAGCATTATTCGATTAATGATTGATGATATAGATTAATAATAATATAATAAAAACATATATTTCTTAGGACATGCTACGTTACGATATTGGATGAACTATCTTTTAGCTTTATCGAAGGTCAGAGGTTTAGACAATTTTGTAGTGTAACATGTCCTAAATTTGATCCTTCATTTTGTAGGCCTGTTGTTGAAGATATTATTACTTATATTTGGATAAAAAATTGCAATTGAAAAAGATCCTCCAATAACAAAGAGTTTCTTAATTGGAGTTCCATTCAAAACTGTCTCTCACATCACACTATGCCCCTGTTTGAACTCCATTATAATGTAGTTTTTTGGGAAAATTTATTTTGTAATGGTGATAAGGGCATTGCAGGGAACCAAGGAGGTTTCTTTCCCATGACCCCTGCAGAGAAAGC